GCAATCTGATGAGTTGTTTAAAAAAATGTGGAGAAATACGAAACTGCTGTTAATTGTTATATTCCGTAATTGTAAATTAGATGCAACATGCAATGAACAGGGATACGTATCATGTAAATTTTGCTAAAATAAAAAGGAATATCGATATTTTTGCAATTAAGGAAAATATATAGTAGTTGGAAAATAATGGTTAATAAAATTTGAAAGTGATAATTATTCAAATTAAACAAGCAGTAAAATAATAAAAAGAAACAATAAAAAACGAAGAAACTAAATAAAAAGTGTCAGTTGTTTATTTGACACAAAAGTCATTGAAATCATTTTTAAAAATATAATTTTGTTAAAAATCATTATTTTAAAAAAATGATGATTTGACAAATTTATCTAAATGAAAGCCTATTATTAAAATATAGAGGATGTTTAAAAAATTGCATGAAAACAATATACTAATTTTTAATTATTTTGACTGCTATAATATTCAGTATAAATAATTAAAATTATTATTAAAATTCTGTTGGAAATAGTCACTAGTAAACAAAATAAAATATTTGTAACCAAAACGACATTACAAAAAATAATTGTTTTTTATAAAAAAATATTAAGTACAACTTTTTTGAGGTTAGACAAAATAATTTAATTTTTTTGATACAATTATATTTCGATACAATTTTATTTTGATACAATTATAATAATTACATACAATTACATTTTATTTATTATAACCTAGAAAAATAAATATAATACACAAAAGCAATGATGACAATCGCACATGTGACCTTTGATTGAATTTAAAAACAACCTAAACCATATATTTATATCTTCCAAGAAATATTACGTAATAACTTAAAAAAATTTTCCAGCAACTGTTACAAAAGGGGAATCCCCGAAATCAAAATTTGAATATGAAAACATCGGACCGTAACGGCTGGAAAAAATTCAGAAAAAACATAAATGAACAAACATGTGTTTAGTCAACCATTATAATTCATTAATTTTGAAAGTGAGACAAGTTTGAGTATAAAACCTTTTTTTAGTTAATACTTTACACTATCAGATTTGAAAGAAATATTGAGAAAATTTGTGTATTTTTTGTTTAATTTAAAATTTTTGTCAAAATTTTTGTTAAATTTAAATTTTTGCTAAATTTCAATTTTTGTTTAATTACAATTTTTGTTAAATTTCAAGTTTTGCTTAATTTCAATTTTTGTTAAATTTCAAGTTTTGCTTAATTTCAATTTTTGTTTGATTTCAATTTTTACTAAATTTAAATTTTTGTTGAATTTCAATTTTTGTCAAATTTCAATTTTTGTTCAATTTTATTATTTGTTAAATTTCAATTTCTGTTTAATTTAAATTTTTGTTAAACTTCAGTTTTTGTTTAATTTCAATTTTTGTTTGATTTCAATTTTTGCTAAATTTAAATTTTTGTTAAATTTCAATTTTTGCGTAATTTCAATTTTTCTTTCATTTCATTCTTGTTAAATTTCAATTTCAACTTTTATTCAAATTTTGTTAAATTAAAATTTTTTTATTTCAAATTTTTTCTAATTTATTAAGTGCTTATCAATATTCTTTATCGAAACGAAATCCTCGAATATCTTGTGGTAGCAAAAAATGTATTTGTCCCATATTCGACATAAACAGGAATGCATTTGCGTAAACATCCGCAGTCTACTAATTACGCTACCGAATCTGACTGCATGATCTTCAGGGGCGCTTCCTCCTTGATCGTCGAGATTCTTCAACATCCGTAGCACGAAAGCGGCATCGCTCTAACTGCAAACAATTCTCACATGTTTTCTCTTTGGAACATGTTTCCCTGAAGGACGAAACGAAGAATTCTCGTATCGCGCGGTCGCTTGGTACGGCGGTACTCTTGTTATGCAACGAAAAAGATTAGTTATGTCTTTTTGCTTCGCTTTTCCACGGATTTGCCTTTTGTCGAGTAAAAAGGAAACGTTCGCTATTGTTTCCTTCACAACGGTATATTATATTTCGGTAGTCGTACAATTTATTTATGACCGAAAACTATTGTCCTCTTTTGTGTTCAAAATGGCGGCCTTCTGCGTTTCTGCGATCTTGATGAGCGATTGAAACCAAGGTTTATTTACACTCCTCTTATGATTACTGCGATCTAATCTTTTTTAAATATGGCTTTTGCATACTATTATTGCGTTTCTACGCGTTTTTCAGTCGGTAGTCGTTTATGGTGGATTTATGGATGGTGTGAGTAGGTGAGAGGTTAGGTTAGGTTCGGTGATTCTTTGTTAGAAATTATTGGACTTGGGTATACTGGTACATAGGGACATAGGGCTTTAGGGATATAGGGTTATAGGAACATAGAGATATAAGGATATAGAGATATAGGGATATAGGGATATAGGGACATAGAGATATAGGAATATAGGGATATAGGGATATAGGGACATAGGGGTATAGGGTTACAGAAATATGGAAATATAGAAATATACAAGTAGAGAATTTGTAAATTTAGAAAAGGGAGAGTACTGTAAATTATGGGAACTGAAATCTAGGGATATTGGAATGTAGAGATATAGGAGCATAGGGATGTTGGAAAATAGGGATTTAGGAATATAGAGATATAGGTACGTAGGAATGTATAAATATAGAAATATAAAAATATAGGAATTTGGAGTAATGGAAATTTGGGGATACAGAAATATGAGACATAGGGATTTGCAGACATAGAAGTTAGGAATAATAAAAATTTTAGAACGTGATCTAGGGATATAAGTAAAAATACCTAGAAATATATGGATGTGTATAAACAGAGGATATAAGGACTAAAATAATCTAACCTAACCTAAGCTAACTAAACTAAACTAAACTACACTAAACTAAACTAAACTAAACTAAACTAACCTAACTACACTAAACTAAACTAAACTGCATTAAACTAACCTAACCTAACTACACTAAACTAAACTAAACTAAACTAAATCTGATAATATAAAAATCACTAGAAACTAGGAATTAACACTAGAGTCATACGCCCTGAATTCCCAAAATGCTAAACACGTATCTTTCCCTTACTTTATTCACAATTTTCTCTTAAAGATACAAGTAAACCAAACAAAACAACGTGAGAGCTCAACCAGTACATCCTTGACCTAGACATAAAATCTTTTACTGCATGCTATAAAAATCGCAACCATAAATGCAAACTAAAAAGAACTTACTACACAAACTACAAATGTTATTGAATGATAATCTACATAATCCACAGTTTCGATTCAAATTTTGGCGCCAAAAATCTGTAGGTTCGCCATATTTAATTCTTCTTCAATTTTAATAAAGTTCTTAGAGTTAAAGTAGCAGATAAAGCACATTTAATTTTGAATGGTAATCTACATAATCCACAGTTTCGATTCAAATTTTGGCGCGAAAAATCTGTAGGTCCGCCATATTTAATTCCTCTTCAATTTTAGTAAAGTTCTTAGAGTTAAAGTAGCAGATAAAAGCCACATTTAATTTTGAATGGTAATCTACATAATCCACAGTTTCGATTCAAATTTTGGCGCCATAAATCTGCAGGTCCGCCATATTTAGTTCCTCTTCAATTTTAGTAAAGTTCTTAGAGTTAAAGTAGTAGATAAAGCACATTTTATTTTAATAGGAAACAATTGTTATCTACTATTTACCTAGACCAAAGTTACCAGTAATTTCAAGATCTTTTTAACAAGAACCAAGTGAAATGGACTTTCGAGGATGTCGCGTTTTAACGCGAAATGTCTGGTCGCGGAAGAAAGTAGTTTGAGAAACGTTGCCAATGAAATCAAGATTCGCACAGGGGAAGGAGAGGATAAAGGGGGGAACAGAAAGAGTTAGCGAACGAGGTGAAGGTATTGCGAGCGCCGGTTAATTGCGATGCACGCCGTACGACACGTGTCACAGCATTGTGCCGCCCGGTCACGCATTCCCATCGATTACATCGACGACAAACGAATTTACAAGCGCAACTGGAACGTGCTTCGCAAACTATTCTATATGAGGCCTTTCCAAACAAATAAAAAGAAAGAAAGGATTTTCCCTTTAAACGAGTTATTCGTGACGAGGTCTTTGATCGCTTCTTCATACCAATCCGTTATATGCACATAAATTCTGGGGTTCATGTGGATACATTTAAATATACTTAGGTCATAGTGATTTGATAGATGGTATTTTACACTGTAGGTATTTATAATCATAATTTTATTTGATCGTCATTCCAGGGTGGCCTTCTCCACATGTAGTACATAAGTAGTCTGCACTGCACATGTGGATGCAGCCATATGTTAACATGTTCCAGGGTCAAATAAGTTCAGAACTATTATATCAATCTGATCAACCAAAATATATTACAGAATTGACCTTCTACTGGAATGCACATGTGGATGCATTGCTATATCAAATAGTCATATGTTCCAGAAATGACTTAGTCATGGCCAACATTACCAAGTTGACCTATATCTCTAAACCACATATGTGGATGCAACAATATATCAGAATATACCAGGGTCAAATGTTTATAACAATTCCACTAATCTGATCTAGCTATACAAATTACAAAATTGACCACACATGTCTACATGTCATTCCACATGTGTGGTATGTGTGGATTTATCACATATCAAAATGTTTAACTGGATTTGTGAACCATCATGAGTATCAAATTAACCTTCTGTGTCTAGACTTCATATGAACTTGCTATAAACAGTATGGTAACTATATTGCGTAGAGTGATCGGCACCTGTAAAAATATCCCAGCTGCATTGTAATCAACCGCCTATAAATAGCCAGATCACAGTTAATCCTCTAGTCCGTCGTTTCCGCGCTGCATCCTAAGTTGAACGTCCACGATGACTCCTCAGTTAACGTCCCTGGTTTCCCCGACGCATCCCAAGTTAAATGTCTCTCCTTTCATAAAGATGCACGTCCGTAGTAACGGAAAACCGCTATCTCGAATGTATGCTAATCGGCGTGACATGATCGTGTTACAGGTAGCAGTCACGTAGAATGGTAGCATCACAACACGACGGTACCAGAAGTGTCGGCGGAGGTGGTGTCGGCGACGGAGGAGGTGGCGGTGATGAGACGGTGTACACGGTAACCGTGAGCGGTGTCGGTTACAGAAACGAGGGTTACAAGGACGATGGTACAGATGGTATACCTCCGGAGCCGCAGAAACCACCGCAATTATCGTCCACGGACGACGACACCCAGTCGAGAAAGTTCAAGCTATCGCGCGGCGAGAAATGGCGGATTTTAAAGAACATTGGCACGGTGTCCGTCGCGTTTATGGTGCAGTTCACCGCGTTTCAGGGCACGGCGAATCTACAATCGTCCATAAACGCCAGTGACGGTTTGGGCACCGTGTCCTTATCGGCCATTTACGCGGCCCTGGTGCTTTCCTGCATCTTTGTGCCCACGTTCGTTATCAAGAGGCTCACCGTGAAATGGACCCTGTGTATGTCAATGTTGTGCTACGCACCCTACATCGGCTCCCAGTTCTATCCCAAGTTTTATACCTTGGTGCCCGCCGGGGTGCTCCTGGGCCTTGGCGCCGCGCCCATGTGGGCGGCTCAGGCTACCTACCTAACGCAGGTCGGTGGTGTTTACGCGAAGTTAACCGATCAACCGGTGGACGCCATTGTGGTCAGGTTCTTCGGATTCTTCTTCCTGGCGTGGCAGACCGCGGAACTCTGGGGGAATCTCATCTCTTCGCTTGGTAAGTGGTGATTTTTATTATGGAACTTAACTGGGCAAAGCCACTTTTAGAATATTCAAGAGCTTCAGAGTATATGTACTGGAGCCTAGGTAGAACTTGTGTTACTTAACTGGGCAAAGTCTAGCACCTTCAGAATGTTTAGGAGCTTAGTATAAATGTACTGGTGCTTAGGTTTGGGATAAACTTACGGAGAGTCTATAGAGACTATGGAACTTGTGATACTTAACTAGACAAAGCCACCTTCAGAATATTTAGGAGCTTAGAGTAGCTGGTGCTTAGGTTTGGAGAAGACTTAGGCAGGGTCTATAGAGACTATGGAACTTGTGTTATTTAATTGGGCAAAGCCACCTTCAGAATATTTAGGAGCTTAGAGTAGCTGGTGCTTAGGTCTGGGGAAGACTTAGGGAGAGCCTATAGTGACTACGGAATTTGTGTTACTTCACTGCGCAAAGCCACCTTCAGAATATTTAGGAGTTTAGAGTAACTGGTGCTTAAGTTTGAGGAAAACTTAGGGAGAGCTTGTAGAGACTATAGAAAGCTAGATAGTTTGGGGAGAGGCCTTCTTGTGGAGAATCTGAGGAGATCCTAGGGAGCTCTAATCTTAGATCCTACACTTATTCTTAAGTAAGAGGAGTCCCTTAACTATATTACAAAAATATAGTTAGGCATAATAAGCTTCCTTAATCTCTTCAAGAATAATTTCTTTGAGATCAGAGATAGAAATGCTTTCATTTAAAGTTGATGAACTTAAAACAAACTGAACAGTCACATATGGTTAGGTGCCATTTTGAAGAGCATCAGGAAAATGGCGACATGGAAAATGAAGCACAGCTCGTTGTTTCTACTTAACACAAAAAGATGAATCTTCAGATTAATATATTAATTGTAACCATAATAAAATCCAGTAGAATTGCTTTATTCAATAGTCCCGTTACCCCAGAAACAGAGTAGTGCTCACTAAATCTTCAAATCAGTTACAAACCATAAATCACCGTTGATTCGTTTAGAAAACAAACCTTTCTCTAAAAGAAGACATAAACTTCAGTCATAAATCAAATTAAAATCCTAGAAGATAGGATTGACCCTTAGTAAAGATCGTTTAAAATGTAAATTCTGGACCCATCTTGTTGAAGAATTTCAATGCCGGAGATGAAGGAGTTCCTAGAGAATCAATTCAAGGACACGTGAACCGGGTCAATAACACTTTGCTCGTTAAATTTGCCAATCCGTTGTCCGACGATGATCGGTCGGTTATTGTAGCTGGGGATGTGTACATGCTTGTTTGGATGAGCAAATCTTGACAGGACAGGAGGAGACAAGTGACCTTCAGAGGCTTTTATGAGATTTTACTTGTTTGTGAATAGTGTTATTGCGAATCTTGTTAGATGGTTTTAGGTAAGATTGATATTTAAATAGGGATTTTTGGGATTTTGGGAATTTTGGGAATTTTGGGAATTTTGGGAATTTTGGGAATTTTGGAGATTTTAGGTTTTGGAGATTCTGGGATTTTGGGATTTGAGAATTTGGCATTTGGGGATTTAGGGATTTAGGAATTTGGGGTTTTGGAATTTGGGAATTTAGGAATTTACGGATTTGGGGATTTGGGAATTTAAAAATTTAGGAATTTGGAGTTTTGGAATTTGAAATTTTGGAAATATGGTAAATTGGGAATTTTTGAATTTTGGGATTTGGTATTTGGGAATTTAGAATTTTGGGAATTTAAGAAATTTAGGGAATTTAGGAACTTGAGAATTTGAGGATTTGAGAAATTGGAAGTTTGGTTATTTGGAAATTAAGGATTCAGGAATTTAGAAATGTAGAAGCTGAAAAATTAATATTTTAGTTATTTTGTAATTCATGAAATTAATATTTTGAAAATTAAGAAATTTATAAAATTAGTAGTTTAGGAATCTAGGAATTTAGGGATTTGGAGTTTTGGAATTTGGGAATTTGAAAATCTAGGAATTTGGGGTTTTGCAATTTGAAATTTGAAATTTGGAAATTTGGGAATTTGGAGACTTTGGGATTTGGGGGTTTGCGGATTTAGAGATTTAGGAATTTGGGGTTTCGGAATTTGGGAATTTAGGGATTTGGAGATTTGAAGATTTGGAAATTTAGAAATTGGGGAATTTTAAAATTTAGGAATTTGGGGTTTTGAAATTTGGGAATTTGGGGATTTCGTATTTAGAAATTTAGAATTTGGGAAATTTGAAAATTTGTGGATTCTGAGATTTGGAAATTTAGAAATTGTGGAATTTGTGAATTTGAAAATTTAAGAATTTGGAGATTTGGAAATTTGAAGAAATTTGGGATTTGGTTAATATTGTACCGTCCGTTTACTTAATTAACTCCCTTTTTAATTTCGTAACAAGTATGCACTATTCACTGTTCATTTAATAAGATACTCAGGTGGTTTTCCTTGTCAGTCGTTTCACACGCTTCGTAAACAACCGTTGCGACACATCGGGCATAGCAGTAATGACACGTGCGTGGTCAGACAGCCGGGCCAAACATTCGGTCCTTTCCCTGGCGAGAACGAACACTATGCCGTATCGCTTCATGGACACCAGTTTCGAGTTTCTCGCTTGACACGCGAGTTGGAGTAACGGCGACAGAGAACGCTTCGCACGCGAGAAGAAACAAGATTTATCCGGTATAAACCTGTGATAGTCGGTTTCCGTACCACCTCGTACGCATTCTCCGATACCGGACGGTAATAACGCGGGATTTAACCATTTTCTACGATTTTAAACCGTAAGAGGTTTCCTCTGGCGCCGGCGCCCTTCCATTACGCGCATGCGCGCGCAGAAATATGACCTGTCAGAACATCTAAGGTTTTGCGTATCATTTTTGGAGTTTATTTTCAACTTTTTACGTTCAATTTTTTGGACGGTTGCGTCATGTATGACTAGTTAATTATTTCTACAATGTGAACAGGTAAAATTCAATTCATTTATAATCAATCAACTGCAAAAGTTGTATTATTAACCCCTTAACCTCAAATTTTTTAAACAGTTACGTCATTTGTAGTGAAAATACGAGACTGGTTTATTACATTCCAACTGTAGAGTGCGTCACGAGTATGAGACGTTATTGTAGGGCAAAGAGTTAAAAAGAAAAATCGGACAAGGTAAAAAGATTGATTGTACCTGGCAATTTAGAAAAGAAATAAGATGGAAGTTTTGACACCACGTGTCTCATCTACAATTACGAAGGCATCGTTTACTTAGCTCGAAGTCGTCAATTATAGAAACTATGTATTCAAACTTCACGTTATTGCGAAGTTGTAATTAGATATACTAACAGTCTATGAGAATCGTGCCAGAAGTACAATAATTGAACGCTAAACGATAATTTTGTAAGAAAAGTTCAGTGATCCGTTAGCCTTGCGAGAGCATTAACCGAACAGTTTGACCAATTGGGACTTAAATGCTAATCACTTTTAGTCAGTTACCTAATAGGTGTCCCAAAAATGACCTTTTTATAATCAAATATGAGTTCTTGCTAATTATTTTATCACTTTGCGATGTTCTTTCTGTTAACTGTTATGTCATACGTGTATACGGCCGGAAGTTAGGTTATGATAGATCAAATATCGTAAATTTTGAATTTCTAAGCGAGGAGTGAGGGATAAGTAGTGATATTTGCGATTGAGAGAAAATAGAGAAGCGAATTTTGGAAATTTGGAATTTTTGAATTTTGAGGTTTTAGAATTCAGAAACTCATACTTTGGGGAATTTTAGATTTTAGTAATTTTAGAGTTTTAGAGTTTTAGAGTTTTAGAGTTTTAGAGTTTTAGAGTTTTAGAGTTTTGGAATTTTGAAGTTTTGGAGTTTTGGAATTTTAGAGTTTTGGAGTTTTGCAGTTTCTAGAACTATATTCTGGATTTGATTAAAGGTGTAACGTAGGAACAACATTCTCAATATCTATAATTGTGTTATTAAAAGTAGCGTTCATTGATTGAACAATGATGGGAAAAATCATGTACATCATTTTTGATTGAAGATCTATTTTATTTTGATACTATGAATTGTTTGAAATTATAAATTTGGTCGTAGTGATTTACTGCATTGAACTTGAATTTGAGGTTAAAAGAGCTTCACTACAGTTGAGTTTAAAAGTGACATTAAAATCGCTATAAACACGTGTATCTCTGATTTTGTCCAAAACTGCAAAATATGAATACCCCATGTCCACGAGATGAGAATATAGTAAATGGTTTCAGTCGATGTTTCCCGCGCAAAAGTTGTCTGAGGCTCTAAACGTAACGTGACCGCCATTACCAGTCAGTGCAGACAATGGCGGTCGAAAGCATTTTCCATTTAACTGCTAATTTCACCCAAAAATGAATACCAAAGCGTTTACCCTGTTATTCAGATACTAGTTCGATAGTTGAAGTTTGTAAACGGTAACTTGCAATAAATATTTGACTTCGTACTCCAGTTTTATTTGGTCATCGCTCAAGCGGCCGCCATTACCTTTCATAGGGATCAAGGAGTACCACTCCTGAACCGCAACGAAATTAAACTACTAAGATAAACTGAAAGATTTCGAATAACGTTGCGATTACGTTAATAAAAGATGGCAAACTGAAAGGTTAAATTTGAAAGTGGATATTCTTAACAACTGTTTATATCTCTAACAGTTTTATGTCAGACTACGCGTGTCCATTTTCACTGCCAAGGTATCAAATATTTGATTCCATACTTCGGTCTTACTCGGTTATTACTTAACATTACCTTCCAGCTATAGTGTATAATTTTTAACAACAGTAAAAATACAAAGCTACAAACGTTGTAATAACAGTTACTGAACTAAACAAATATTTTACAAAGGTAAAGCTTGGTTTCCTATAAACATGGCGGTAACTATTTATTAAGCAATGTAACTATTAATTAAACAGCCTCAAGAATATTACTACAAATATTAACGTTTGTGATTTTATATAAACTTCTATAGAAAGTTATTATTAAAAGTTATTATTTAGAGAGTTTATCAAG